AGTTCCTGGTACCAGAGAAAAAAAAAAAAAAAAAAGCTAGATGACCAACACAGGGGAATGATTAAACAAATTATTGTACTTTTCGTACTTATCAAAACTGTCTACTAAGAAATTATAAAATGGAAAAATTGTTGTGAGGCTGGAATTATGGTGACAGGGCAATATTATTATTATTTTGGTAGTAGGGGGGGATTTAACCCAGGGCCTTTGTGCTGAATTATATCCTCAGCCCTTTCCTTTTTTTCATTCTGAAACAGGGCCTCACTAAGTTGCCCATCCTGGGCTCAAACCCGCAATTTTCTGCCTTAGTCTCGCAGAGTGCTAGGATTACAGGTGTATGCCACTGTGCCCAGCTAAATACTATTTTTAAAAAGCCTAAAACATTGAAGACAAAACAAACTAAAGAAACATTTTTCAATAAATGTGACAGGAAAAATCAGTAATCTTTAATGTACAGAAAAGATTTTAATTCATTGAGAATACAAAGGAATTGAACAATAACGCCTTAAGAGAGATAAAAAGATATGAACAGACAATTCAAAAGAGAAATATAAGCAAAAAACAAACATACGAAAAAAATATTTTAATTATCTGAAGTTCAACAAGATGTCTTATACATAAACACAGAGGTATTTCTCAATTAATAGTTCACAATAGAGACCTTTTTATTAGTATCTCATGTAATTTCAGCTTAGACTTTATGATTGTGTCCCAAAATGAATAAACATAGACAATCCATAGGGTGGTCCGCCCTTGCAATATATGAGTGGAAACTTCCAGGTTAAACAAATACATATTTCTTTCTACTCCCTACTACGCCTGACTCACTAAGTTTTGGAAGCCACCAGACCAGATGATTAAGTAGGTATCGTCGAAGGAATTGCTGAGCTACAGCTGGCCCTCACTATGGTTTGAGCCGCAAAGAAGCTTTGAAGGCCTCGAAGCTCAGGTCAGGTGTTTCCCATGGCTGTGTTTCATCTTTCCTTTGTTAAAGAGTTCTTTATTTTCTAACCAGCAGTGATGGTAAACCTTTCACTAAGCATCTTAGTTGTTCCCAGTAATCCTGATCCAAGAAAGGAGAAGGCAAATGCTGCAGCAGAGATTCCATGTTTTGATATTAGGATTCCTTTAATTTAAAGAAATTTTTTTTCCTGAAAAACACTGTTTTGGTTTTGCTTTTGCAGTGCTGGGGCTGGAACTCAGGGCATGCTAGGCAACTGCTCTACCACTTAGCTACCTTCAAGCCCTATACTCTTAAAAATTATTGAGGGAATCAAATAGCTTTCATGTGTATTATATTTACTGATTTTACTGTAGTAGAAAATTAAAACAAAATGTTGAAGTATTTATTCATTTGAAATAGCAATAAGGAGCCAATTACACATTAACATAAACAATTTAGCTTTATGAAAAGAAATTATTTCCAAAATAATGAAAGAAGAATGGCTTTGTTTTCCATTTTTACAGATATCTTTAATATTTGGCTTAATATAAAACAACTAATTTTTCAATTTTGCTTCTGCTTTCAATCTATTCCAATAGGTTTTTTTCACTGATGTATATGAAAAGTATTCTTGTTCATACAGGTGTGCAGCTAAAAGTATATTAGCAGATAATAGTTAATATTTGATGCTGTGTAAATATTTACAAAGGATAGTTTCTTACAGATTACAATATGAAATCTGAAACCCTATCAACAAAATTTTGTATTGTAATGCTTAAGTCTCCTGGTCTGTCTTATACTTAGAATGGCGTCTTATGCATAATTTTGTATCATCATGTATTGGTCATCTGGAAAACAATGATGTACTGATTCTACAGTATAAAAAAAATTCATTAATATCACCACCAATCTCATCAAAACAATACTGGGAAGATGTCAAGTTCATAATGGTTTTCAATTATAATTTTTACTCTAAAAGCTTCAATTTTATCACTCATAATAAATACTGCCAATTATTTTCCTGAAAGTGACAAGGCCCCTTCATTTCTGAGGCAATGTCTACCAAAATCTAAATCTAAATTACCATAGTTTACTTCATGGTGTTCCTTGAAAAAAGTGGATCAGTTCAGTCTGCAACATAATCACATAAGTGGTTTTCCTTAAGACAACCTTCATACTTCAGTTTGTAATAGAAGTGCTTTATGAGCACCTCCTCCTTTCTACAAAGAATATTAAAACAGATGTGAAGCTGGGCATGGTGGCACATCTCTGTAACCCCAGTACTTGGGACACTGAGGTAGGAGGATTGCTTCAAATTCAAGGCCAACTTGGGCTACATAATGAGTTCAGGCCAGGCTGAATTTCATAGCAAGACTCTGTCAAAAAAAAAAAACAAAAAACAAAAACAAAAACAAAAAACGTGTACTGAAGAGTTAGGATTTACTACTTCATTGAAGATGTTTTTTACCTGAAACTGTTGTGGTTTTCACTCCAAGTGCTATGCAGAGCAGTGACTACTAGTGGTTTGATACCACTGCTTTGCTTTATGTTGCGGCACTGGTGGTCTGCTCGCCATTGTCTTGTTACCATTACTGTGACTGTAGTATTATTTCGAAAATAGTGTTTACCTCACGGACCATGAGGAGTACATACTTTGAGAACCACTGTGCTAGAAAATGTTTGCCTTGGTTTGACTGAGGTAATAGTGATTGTAACTCCAGTACTTCAGCTATGGCATGGTTCCAGTCATACCCTCTTCCCAACATAACTAAGTAATAGGTAAGCCTAAAATAACAGGGCAACTTCATTTATATATAGGTCTAACACCAACATAAATACATTTCCACTTTCGGTCTTTCCTGATTTTCCAGACTTCATTTCCTCTCTTGCTAGGTTGAAATGCCTTACAGATACCAAGCAGCAGTGTAACCTGAACTCCCTACTTTAATTTGTAGCTGTAAGGTGATTAAGATACTTTCAGTATGGGCAACTTAAGGTAAAACACAACCATCTTTTATTCATTCTTCTTTGACTCGAGAACAGATCAGCAAATGTTTTGGTTCTTTCACATTCTTTCCTTTCTGTATCAATGCTGCCATCTGAATCCTATTTTATACCTTACTATTTTATCTATTAGGAACTATTGTCATAGATACTTATCTGCTTGAAATGCTTGTTGCAGGCCAGGAAGCTTCTATAGCATAACTCTTTCTCCTGCTCCTGAAGTTTTATATGTAGCTCAACACACCAACCTCAATACAAATCTGATCAGTACTTGTATGACTTGGATGTAAATACAAAATGCTTCTTCTGAAAAAGGTCTAGGAATTCAGTTTAATAAGATAAAGCCCAGAGCCTATACAGATTTCCAGAGTTCTCTACATTAGTTCTCTAATGCCCCCATCTGTTTTTACTGAGAATAATCTTCCATTTCAAATACTAAACCTCACTCAATACAACTGGATGATTCTAGGTGTGCTTTGCCTCCTGACAAGCGATATCTCCTCCTCCTATATGCCGAAAACTTTTAAGATCCAGCTTTTGTAATATGACATCTTTTTGTAATACTATAACCTGCAGGATCAGTTTCTTCTTGGAGATCTTGTATTACTGCATCATTTACTTGGTGCTCAATGATGTGTTCATTAAGTTGCTCTTGTTCCCAAATTATCTCTGTGGTATTTAGGCACGTTGTTCCCCATGGAACCATATGAGCTTTTTGTCTTTTTGGTTTTTTTCTTGAGCCACCATACTTCTATACGTAAGATACATATTTTAAAGTGATAGAATGTTCTGCATATGTACCTGGTTGCAAAACAGAATCATAAGCACAGAGCATAGTGCATACCCTGGTGTGGCAGAACGGATGGCTACACAATAAAAAATTGTGTTCCTTTTCAAATAATAGTCATTAGGAGACAGAAATCCAACTAGGGTCTAGTTTTCACAATGGAAATGAACAAAAATGATGTGACTTCCAGGCTGGATTTGTTTTTTTTATTTTTTCTGTGGCACGGGTGATCAAACCCAGGGTCTCACATATGCCACACAAGTGCCCTACCACTTGACCTATATCCCCAGCATCCCCAGGCCAAGGTTTTTAAGAAGGTATGCCTCCTCTACTGTGTCTTTCTCAGGGTGCCTCTGAATACAGGGAACTCAAGCAAAGATGCAGGAATGACAACAGCAGTAAGATCCTGCAACTCAATCACATGGAGAAAAGCTGTCTGCTGATCAGCAGCACCTGCATTAGACTATTATAGGGATGATGTCTACTATATTAAGCCACTGAAATTCTGGGATTTCTTTGAGATAGTAGCTAGTTTTAGCATACTAATTCACCGAGGGTCACGTAGCTGATTAGCGGGCAGACATAAGACCAAAATTTGAGACCATGTTTTCTAATTCTTCTTCTTATAAAGTGTCAAATGTCTTCAGACATGTATTTATATTTCCAAATTATCTCTGTGGTATTTAGGCATGTTGTTCCCGTTTGTTCTCAGATAAAAGCTGTTAATCCCCAACAAAACCTTATCTGCACTTACCATTTACAATCATTTTCAAACAAGCAGAACATGGTTTTCTGGAAAAATAAAGATCACAGTTTTTCAGCCTTGACCCATGTTTAATAAGAGCAATTTGCCCAGCATGTAAATCTTCACTAGAACAATGGAGACCAACAATTTTCATGTTTTTCACCACCACAAGGCCAGTTTTCTTCACCTATATGATACAAAATAATAAGTTATTAATTATAACATCTCATAATATCATGGATAATACTTTATTAATAAAATGAAATCTTTAGTTCTCTGTATGTATCTAATTCTTTATCTGAACACAGTTTATATAGATGTACATATCTCATTTGGTCTAAAAGACTATCTTACACTTTTGTGTTGATTTTAGATCAGAAGGTTTCAAAACAGGCTCTACAAACCCAAGAAGTGTGTAATTAGCACACTTGCCCTAGTAAAGGGCAAGAACCAAGTCAGTTTGGACTTGTGTCTTATAGCATATAATCCACAACTATTTATCATTAAACTTCTGGATGGTAAAAAGGAAAAATTAGAAAAACCTTCTTTTTTACATATGGATAAATCAAGCCCAGAGAGTTCACATGGTTTTCTGAATGACCCACAGATGGTAAAAGGCAGAACTAAAGTAGAGGTCATCTTAAATTTTATTTTATAAAATTTTATTTTTTTGCCAGTAATGCCTTTGTTTAGCTTCTCCCAGTACTCATGCAACAGAAATGGACAAATCCATGATTTCCTCTAAAAATAAATATGAAAAGCAATATCCTGGAACAGTTGTTCTTTTTTCTTTTGTGAACAGTTTTTATTTTTTACTGTGTGGTCATACTGGCATGTGAGCCCTGTGCAGCTGTGTCTTTCTAGCAGATCCTCATGTGCTATACCCACAGACTGCAACACAAACTGTCTCCTGAGAGGTGAGCTGGGGAAGCCCAAGCATTGATGTATCTGATACACTTACATCACAAATAAATATAATTATAAAAAATAAAAATCAGCTTGAACAAAAATGATAGCAGAACTCCTGGTTGCACTTATAAAATAATCATGATCATAAAAATGAATGAAAGATATACTTTCTTTAAAATCAGCCTATATAAAGGCACCACTTGAATTTAGTGAAATTTATTTTTTTAAAAAAACAACATTCCTAATATTAAAAGATGTCTGGCAAAAGCAGACCTGTACATGCTGAGATACTGCTTCAAAGAGCAAATAGTATTTGAAAACCAATCTAGCAAGATCCAAATATGTAGCTACACTCTAAACTGTGGCTCAGGAAGCAAACATTGTATGTCCTTTCCCTATTGCACTTCTTTCAATAAAAGGAATTCCTCATTCTTTATATCATCATTTAAAAAGTCAAGTTAGATTCTCAAAGAATCAATTCAGCAACATTTTAACCCATAGATTGTTCTGCTGTGTTCATTTCAATCTCCTTTCCTCCAGATCAAAGCTCAGTCCTTATTTCACTTTGGAGTTTATCATGAGTCAAGAAACAAGGATTTACCCCCTGTAAGAAATATCAGAAATCTATTTTGTAGGAAATCATTACAAACATATATAGATAAATAATTTTAATAACTCTCAAAATGTCCAGATAGATTAAATGCCTTCAATTTCAACATACAAAACATGCATAAAGTAATTCTAATTTCTGGTCCTTATGTGTGTATACAAAAGTTTTGTCTAAACTTTATAAACTTTCCAGACACAGTGTCACATACCTGTAATCTCAGCACGCAGGAGACTCAGGTAGGAGGATCACTGCGAGTTTGTGGCCAGTCTGTGCTACATAGTGAGTTTAAGGCCAGACTGAACAACATAGCGAGACCTTGTCTCAAAAACAACAATAACAACAACAACAAACAATTCTATCTGTGGTGCTTTGGACTAGCTTTGTGGTCTTGGACAAGTTATTTAAGTCCCCACATTTCAATTATACCATCAATCATTTCAATTATACCATCAGTCATTACCATCAAGCATTTCCTAATCATGCAATCCCATAAAAAAGGATTCCATGGTCAAATTAAGTAAGAAATCGCACAATTTCTCCCTTTTAGGAGATTCACAATGTATATGAGCATTACTAAAAGCTCTGAGAAGATCTTCAGTATATTGGCTTAATCTTGTATCAATCTTCATTGACCAGAGAATCCCTCTATTGGCTAAAACTTTTTAGTATTCTGTAGATTATACTTTTCAAAACACAAGTATAGCACACCTCAGGTCTCACTCAGCACTGACAGTGATGAAATTGAGGTAGAATAATGTGATCTTGTGACAGGTTTAAGGGATTAAGAGAGGGTTTGGTGCTTTGGTATTGACAAGGTACCTGTCATACTTACTGGTTTCCTTGATGAGCAATATAATTCCCTTGTTCCTAATGAAAGTCTTTAGTCATGGAAAGTGAAAATGAGTGTCACAGAATCTTGGTGCTCACCTACATTGTAATAGGTAGCAGAATTTGCCAAGAATAGCAAGTTCCCTTTCAATATAGGTTATTTTCCTTTCTGTTATGGCTTATTTTTCTCCATGGCACATACTTCTTCCACTCTTCATTAAAGCAGTTCTGCAGTTTAACAGTATCCTTGTCCTTTACTTAATTCCTTATCCAGAGTGAAGTCAACTCACAGGGAGATTGTCAGGCTGTGGGTTAAAAAGCATAGTTTCTCTTATATGAGAAACCAAAGTATAAATAAGGAGCAAAATAAAAGATAGGTAATAGGAAAGATGAGATAAATCTTTCTCAAAAAAGGGATCAAAAGATGGAGGGAAAAGCTGGGTGTGGTGGTGCACACCAGTAACCCCAGCACTTGGGAGGCTGAGGCAGGAGGATCGTTGTAACTGAGAGACCACCCTGGGCTACAAAGTAAGCTCAAGGCCAGCCTGAACTGCATAGCAAGACTGTGTCAAAAAGACAAAAAAAAAAAAAAAAAGAGAGAGAGAGAGAGAAAGAGAGAGATGGAGGGAAGGGGAGAAAGGAGGTGAAAAAATGATTTAAGATGTGTTATGTATATGTACCAACTCACCACAAGGAATGTAAACATTACATATTGTAAAAAAAAAAAAAAAAGCTGCTCTCCCAAGAAGGCACCTTTAAGGCCATACTGCTCTTTCATGCAGACTGACTTCTTAGACAACATGATGTTAAGAACGAAGTCTGCAAAGTTTTTAGGAGCCTGGAGTGTGCACATGGCCAGCCAGGTTAGGGTCAGGTCAGCAGACGGCCCGGCACAGGTCCTCCAGAGCACTGGCTGCCTGCTTCCTGTACTCATCTTCAGTGAGGTGCTTAACCATCAGTCATTCTGGTGCGAACCACTACTTCACTCTCCACTTCTATAACTCAATGTTTTCTGTGCGTGGCAGAGAATCTAGGAGGACTTGTGGAGGATGATCACTGTGTAAAAGAAATGAGGCATGGCCACACTGGTGTAGCTCAGAACCAGGGAGAACAACCTCAGTATCCACATCAAGGCTTCTGTCCTGGTGTCCACAAGGGCCCATGTTTCTAACAGGCAGTAAAGCTGAAAAATTCAACTATCAGGAGGTAGTCTAATATATATTCTGTTTCCAGACCACAGGTGCTTCAGATCTTCCATCAACTGGTACACAACATAAGTGGTAGAGCTGACTACATGAGTCCACTCTACTTGGGAATTTCAGTTGTAGTAGTCACAGTTTGTCCTAGAGCTTTACATCTTGAAACTGACAGTGCCACCTCCTCTCTGTGCATGATGCCCACAGGCAGCAGCCAGAGCAGTGGCCACTAGATTCCAAATGGTGACTACTTCACCCAGCTTGGCTCTAAAGGCCCAGTTTCTGGGGTGGGGTGGGGTACTGGGGACTGTAGCAGAAATGCTAAAATATTCTTAACAATAATTAGAATAAGGATAATTCTCAACATCCTCCTAAAAATGGGCTATACAATTTTTAGCACTATGACAATCTAATGTAGTTGGCTCCTTCCTAGTACTAACATATAGGTAAATTATAACAGCATGTGTCACTTATCAAAAAGGGACCGAAAAAAATGCAAGAGCAGGAAGCTCCCCAGAGGGGAACTGGCTGACATGAGTGAAGTCATGCAGGGAAGACACTCACTGGAGTTCCGTGAACGAAGGCTGTGAATCAGAGGTGTCCTGACTGGCAGTGTTGGCCTCCAGCTCCACCAAAGCAGCACATGGCCCACTTCCTCCGGCCTCAACACAGATATGGCTGCTAATGGGGTGGATGAGTGCTAAGGCTCTGCTGTCAGTAGCCCACTTCAGAAATGTCACTCCCACCTCCGTATACGGCCACTGCCAGTTCAGATGCCAGTAATCAACTGCCACATGTGCCAGTCTCTAATCAATTTGGATAATAAACTTCACCAGTGTGGTTAAATGCAGTTTGCAATGAAGCTATGCCAATCAAAAACCCCCCAAAAGGGAAGAAATATGTTAGATACCCTTATAATCGTCTCCCCATCTGTAAGGACACATCTCAGCAAATAGGATGTCTGAGACCAACTATAGATAATATAATTAACCTTGGTCCAGTAATGTTCTTTTTTTTTTTTTTTTTGGTACTGGGATTCGAACTCAGAACCTTGTGCTTGCCAGGCAAGTGCTTGTGCTGCTGAGCTATATCCCTGGCCCTGGTAATGTTTATTTCTGAAGAACAATCAGCTCAATTTTCATTGTCAACACAACCAGAAGGTACAAGGGTCACATGTGGGCACTGTGGAAACACACTCCTGTGGATAGAACTGAGGTTCAACACTGGCAAAATGCCCATACTGCAAAAAAAATCTCTCCAGTGGGTAGTGCATGTTCACCAAAGCACTGCTGTGCATACATTACCACTGGAATGATAAGTATTTTCATTGGAGTTGAATAAACTATTGGCACTCAAGACTTTGCAAGGAAAGTCAACCTACATTTGCAAGGAAATGCAACCTACATTTCTTGGGCCACTGTTTATTTCTTAGGTTTGATCTGCCTTATCTGAGCTTGTTATTAGAGAGCCATAAGAGTCAGTTATTCAGAACACAGTTTTGCATACACTTGCTCATGATTCAGTGCCATAGGTGAGAGTGTCCAGCAGTTCCTGATAAAATACTCTGGACACCTTTAAATCATTTATTCAAATGGATTTCATTCTGGTTAATGTGTAATAGTTTCAAGACTTTGGACCTGGATGTGGTGGCACACACCTGTAATCTCAGCACTCTAGAAGGCTGAGGCAGGAGGATTGCTGTGAGTCTGAGGCCAGCCTGGGCTACATAAATGAGTTCAAGGCCACCTTAAACTAAATAGCGAAACCCTGTCTCAAAAAAAGAAAAAAAAGACTTTGGAAGTCTTTTTCAAATAAATGCTGAATATACTACATTATATGCAAATAGTTTGTTTTGCTGCTGGATTTTCAAACTCAAGAGACATAAAACTGTGTTTTTATGTTCTTTTAAAACAATTAAAGATATTTTTGGATTTGTCACCAAACGTTACATATTATATCGTGTTTGTTTTGTTTAAATGTTATTCCATTACTTGCTAATCTGTGAGTGCTCCCAAAAAGTGTTTATAAATGTTTCCACAATAATTTCACATTTATACTTAATTTTAATTACAGTACCTGAACTGCTTGCTTTATAATCTATGAAATATTCATTTTTTGCTTAAACCTAAGATTATAGTGACCTTATTCAGGAAAACAATTTGAGTGTACTTTCAAAAACTTGACATCCTTGTCAGAGGAACAATTCTAGATACTGTATGCTTGTTTTTTTGTTGTTGTTGTTATTGTTGTTCTTTGTAGAAAGATACAATATTTTGATAGTAATTTAAAATGTTTTTTTGTTTTTCTTCCAGTACCAGGAATTGAACTCACGACCTTGCACTTGCCAGCTAGGCGCTGTGCCGCTGAGCTAAATCCCCAGCCCCAGTAATTTAAAATGTGAGAATGAAAACATTTATTTGTCCACAGTTGGAGATGTTGGAAACATTTTTTCTCAATGATCACAGGATTTTTTGGTCTTTCATTTTTGTCTTTTCATTTGCCAATTATGGTAAATCTGGTCTGGATTCATGGAATTTAATGTTAATCAGCTGTATGTATTCCTTTATAGAGACCAGAGAAAGAACTTCACATAAGATATTTTTTACTTGACCATTTAATCAAAGATGTATTTAAATTGGGCTATGCTCCGTTTCATTTGATCATGATAAATTTTTCTTATTTGGATAATCATGTGCCACTTATATGTGAAGAGAGCCTATGACATTTTGCACTAGTTAAAATGTTAAGATTAAAGGTACTCTTACCATTCTTTTCAAATATAACCTGTCAGATAATTATCCAATTAATTTAAGAAAACAGATAAACCATAAAGGGCAACACAGTTTTCTAAGAACATGCTAGGATTTATAGAATCAGCTCTTGCACTGGCTTTCACATAAAGCACAAAAACAGTCTACCATGTTTGCACAGCAAAAGACTCTAAAGAAATATAAACCTGACACTTTGGTTCAGGTCTGGAGTTATGATATGAGAACTTGGCTGAGGGTTTATAAACTGTCCCTCACTCCCCAACTCCTTCCTAAAGGATGTTACCCTATACTTGCTCCCAGTAGAATACATCTGAAATCATGTTATGGATCAGGTCACAGGCCTATGAAATAAAATAGTCAAGTTTCAGTTCAGTTACAGTAATAAATGTTTGAAACTATGAAGAAGGACACTTTGTGAAATATGTAAAAAGATTTCATGCAATTTCCTTCCTGAGTTACCCAACCAGCTCCTAAACTATAGACTTGTAAATACAGAAATCTTTTCCTTACAAAATATATTTGTAAGAACATATTTTTAAAAGTATCTGTATAGGCTTTTTAGAAGAGCTTCGAATTTACCTAGAATTTCCCCTTCCCATCACAAAATATTTTAGAATTGTACATTCCTTAAATACAAAGTACTGTACTTCAAGCAAGTTTCTTTTAAAAATCGGTCACTTTGAAAAATTAACTGATGATGGCTTATTGAAAGATCTTGGTGCCAAAGTCCACGTTGTTAAACTGAACCAGTAAGACCAGTGAGCGGCTACAATTGAATGATGTTAACTTTAGTCTGCCAAGTAGGTGGTATACTGTTAGGTAGGCAGAAATAAAGCCAGACACCCTGAAGCCCTGACCACAAAACCCTGACCATTTCTAAAAAACTGTTCCTAAGAAATATGAAAAATACACATACATACATACATACATACATATCTTCATTGTTTCTGCCTAGGGAGGCCAAGTTTGAGACAAAAACAAACCTAAGGCTAAGTTGCATTCCATTCTGGCACTTCCACTTACTACAATTACTAGAAGAGTGAATTTCTTTTCAATGAATTACTGTCCTGGATCTTGATTTTGTTTCACTAACATCTTGGCAAGTCATTTATGCAATCTTAGTTATAGAGTCTTACATTCAAACATGAGCAAAAGAGGACAGTCTGCTTGTATACAAATTAGTATATTTACTTAAATGGCAATTTAAATGGCAATTCAATATTTTTTCCCTTTGTGTTTCTTAAAATGAAAATATCTAAATATTCAGAGACAAATATTTCTATATCCTTGTTAGGCATTTTAGAGACTTATTCTCAAAACTAATCTGGAAATCTCATCAGGAATATACAACAGAATAAAGGTAACTCTTTTCAAAATATAAATACTTATGCCAGCACCATGGTGCATGCCTATAGCCTCAACTATTTGAGAACCTGAGGGAGGATGGTCACTTGAGTTCAGGATTTTGAGACACCTTGGGTAACATGGTGAGACTCCATCTCAAAATACAAAAGTATAAATGAATGAATGAATGAATAAATGCTTGGTTTTTATTCCGTATCCAATGCATCAGAATCCCTCCAAAACTCAAAACATTAAAGTAACAAAAAAATACTATGTGGTATCAGAAAAACGAAGTTCATCTTTCAGGTCTGGGCTTTGATTTTTATCCTACTTACCAACTACCTGTCATTGTTCCATGGATATTATCAGAAGACATGAAACTCTAGGTTACTATTCACAGCACAACACTATGGGCATCATGTTTATGATGGTTCATTCCCTCGAGTGCCATGGGAAGGGTAATGCAGATGCATGCAGATGGGCCCAGACGGTTGCCTGGACATACAATGGAGCATGCCACAGAAGAACACCGAGTTTGGGGATTCCGTTGTTCCATGGCATACGCTGCTCTTTGTCTAAAAGGAAGACAATAAGGAAGACAACACCTCCACCCTCAAAGTTACTTACTACAAACACAACTCTGAGAAATAGCCTATATAAGGAGCAACTGGGGCCTTGTATTCTTGACATAACTAACAAGATTCACAGACATGGAAGACAACCATGGAGAGGTGTTTCTCCACACATCTATGTAAGTTAATATTAACAGACATCAAGTTACATTTGAAAAATTTTTTTAAAAAACAAGATATAGGAGTATATCACAGAATCCCAAATCTTTTCTTCCTTTTTAAACAGAAGAGACATATAGGCTCATAAATGCACAGATTTTTAGAACACCATGTAAGAAACTTCCCTGGAAGTAAGAATAGGGAACTAGGGAACTGGAGTATGAGAGGGTCTTTTATCCTACTTTGTACCATTCCTTTTGCTTTGTTATTACAAGCAATATGTCACTTAAAACACCACAAAAGTTCACCTGTTTTTTGTCAGTTGAAACACGGGCCATCTCTTCATTATCTCCTGATGGTCCACACTTTCCTTCTTCATTTTTCTAATTAAAACCAGATTAAGGGAGGAAAAGCTCAATATTGTTAATTCAGTAATTCCATACTTAAAGGCTGGTTTCCTTGGCTTTGGAGCATTCCCATTTCTTTTTCTTTTCTTTTTTTTTTTTTTTTAGCCTTGATGGAACTCTTTACTGAGTTCCACTTTGTTCAGGGATCAAGTTCAAACAATTTTTAATCTAGTAAGTAAGGTCTTTATAATTGCTTTCTATATTTTCCCATAATATAGGACTGAAATTGTGATTACCAAGAATTTTGTAATTTACAATTCCAGAATTGGAGCAATTTTGAATGGTGGAAAATTCCAAAGGGTAGCCACAGCTATGAAGGACTAAAGTAGAACAGAGGTAAGTTAATTGGAGTTGAAAAGATAAGAAAATATGCAGCAAATGTATTACACATGGATTTTGACATGTGGAATAAAGGTCTCTGGAGCGTGTGACTATGCTATGTTACATGGCAAAAGGGAATTAAGGTTATACATGGAATTAAAGCTGCTATCTTGAGATGGGGAGATTATACTGGATTCTCAGTGCAATATTATTGCAAGGGTCAGTATATTCAAAAAAGGGAAACAGGAAAGTCAGGCTGATACAGAAAGACTCAATTGGCCATTGATGGCTTTGAAGGTAGAAGGGGCCCATGGGCCCAGGAATGTAAGCAGTTTCCAAAGCTGGAAAAGGCAAAGAAACATTTTTCCTGAGAGCTTCCAAAAGGAACTTGGCTCTGCTGACACTTTCAGCCAGTGAGACCCATTTTGAACTTCTGACCCACAGAACTGTATGATAAATGTTTTTGTCATGAATTTTGTGATAATTTGTTATAGCAGCAATTTACAAAAACATATAGGGATGTCCACAAGTCTCCTTTAAAAGTGAAACTTAAAGTAGAAAGAAAGTTTTGAGGCAGGGGCCTTCATTTGAACAAGTACTCATCCAACCCCTGCTAAGTGCTAGCCATACACCTAACTGCTCAGGGTACAATCTTTCCACAGACCTTATGATTTATGAGCGTAGGAAAGTGATTACGTATGAGTAGATTAAGACAAAGTAAAATAGTTGAATTCTGTGGACCCCAAAGTAGGTGGGATAGTTAATAAACTGAGGAAAATTTTAAAGTATGAATGGGAAACTTGGTGAACATTAATCTAAGTCACATGAAACAAGTGCTGGATTCCACGGAAGGAACAACTTCCAAAGAGAAGTCTTTAAGAAAACCCATCTCCTAGGAATAGGCTTACGCACAATAGGAAGTAAAGGAAGCAAGGGGCAACTTAACATAAAAAGTACCAGAGGACACAATGTGAAAAGAAAAAGAAACAATATGAGATGTATAAAGAAAAATGAAGGAACAAGTTATTCTAACCCTTAGACTTGAGGTAATTTGTTAAACTCTTAACAAACTAAAATGAAGAACTACGAACTAGTAAAAGAGATTTTTTTTGTCTTTTTAAGACAGTTCAGGCCGGCTTTGAGCTCACTTGTAGCCCACGCTGGTCTTGAACTTGCAACAATCCTTCTACCTCAGCCTCCCAAGTGCTGGGATTACAGGTGTGCACCACCATGCCTGGCTCTGAGAGAATTATTTTAAATGAAAGCCATTTTCATAATGCTTGATTTCTATTCTAAAATTTTTATCAAGTATATCCCCCCATGTCTCATAAACAATAACTTTCCCTCCCACTCATTTAGTTTTGTGCTGGTCTCCTAAAAATTCCTAATTATTATTATTTTTTTTTTGAGACAAGTCTCACTATGTAGTTTAGGCTGGCCTTGAACTAACTATGTAACCCAGGCTGGCCTTGTACTCATGACAATCTCCTTGCCTCAGCCTGCCAGTTGCTGGGATTACAGGTGTGCACCACCACACCTAGCTAAAACTTCTTGGTTTTATGCTTAATGTATACCATGAACAATCCTTAGAGTATCCAAATTGTGCAAATATTTGACAACAGAAAAACTCAGGTATATTTGGAAGTAATTATAAGTACATAATACACTAAGGTTGGCAAAAATTACAATTTAAATATCCAGTAAGAGGATATATAGAACCATTGACATAACTGTAATTTATTAAAATTATAATAAAACATATAACACAAAGCATGAGACAGGCACTTAGAGTTTTATATATGGCTTTGGAGCATTCCCATTTCTTTCATTCCCATTTCCCATATTAATTCATTCACTGCCTATAAACATTTCATGTAGTATGTACTAGTATGATAAGGACATTAACACAGAGGTAAAGCAACTTACCCCAAATTACACAATTGGTACGAGATGGAGCAAGGAATTGAACCCAGGCTAGCTGGCCTCAAAACCAAAAAACAAACAAACAAACAAAAACGGGCTACTCTTACAACACTAGATTAAGTTGCTGCCTCAATGTTTGTAATATACCAACGTATGTATTTTCTTATGTTAGTTGAAAAGGGTAGGATCTAGAATTAAATGATCTCAAATGAGTAAAGGAATGAAAGATTGAGAATTAATACAAAAATGTTAGTCTTTAGATGGTAAAAATATGAAGAATTATTTTTTGTCCACTTTGTAAATAATGGGCATATATTATTTTGGTAACTTATACACATTTTTAAAATACACAAGGTTGGTAAAAAATGTCAAAAGCAATTATTTCCAATATAATTACGGTACATTCAAATTGCACCTTGGAACTTCTGTGACTTACTTTGTACAGCAAAGGCAGAATACAGAATTTAAGTGAAATAGTCCTATTACTTCAGCTTAAAAAACATTTTTTTCTCCTAATAGATATTTGTAATTCATAGTGGTAATAGTTTATTTTTCCAATCTAAAAATAGAAGTCTTTCTCCTAGACTGCCCCATGTTTGTTGTGTATATAGCATTTACACATTGATAAGGCCAATAAGATTATTGTCAATACCACATAATTTATCACTCAGTTATATAATTCTATGAAGACTATACACAATTAAACTAGAAAAGTTATACTACAGTAAATGGTAAAGAACTAAAGAGGTATATGTATGTATTTTCAATATATTGGTTTTTATGACTATTAATATACATTTTAACCTGCTTTAATCATCTGCGATTAAAACAAGGACTTACATGGAAACAGAAACCAGTTAGTATAAGTAAATTAACTGTTAATAATAGTAGATTTTAAAGAGATACTAAGATAAATAAGACATGGTCTCTAAGCAATTTACAGGTCAGTAAGAAAGGGAAAAATGACTTAGTTAAAACACCAACAATATATAATTGGGTAATAAATTATGTGGTACAGACAATAATCTCATTGGCCTAATATATAAATACCATACATCTAATAAACATGACAGTCTGAGCGACTATTTTTAGATTGGAAAGATGAGCTATTAGCACTGTGAATTATCACACTAAACCCTCAAGGTTTTTCTCAAATCTTAGAGCTTGCCGAATTTAGTTTTAAACGTGACTACAAGTAGAACAATAAAATCAAATTTGAGGTCACTGATTTTCTAAGGGTAAAAACTAACTATGGAAACAAATGATACCTGAGATTTTTGCTTTTGGGCTTCTGGGAAGAGCTCCATCCACAGACTGAGCAGAGTGAAGAGGTTCACTTTAGAAAGCCTTGGTATCTGACCTACAGACGGAGGGCAAATACTTTAGGATTTTAATGGTGATGAAAAAACGAGTTGAAGTCAGTTGGGTGCCGCAGCCTTAATTCAACAGCTTTAGCAGAGGGAAGAGAAAACGGAACAGCGGACAAGAGCATCGCAGCTTTTTAGCAGCAGACTCTACGGCCCCCTCGCGGGGAGCTCCCGAGGCACTCTGCAAACTTAGGCCCCTTCTCCCGGCCCTCACCCGACAGAAAAAATAACGCAGCTGAAGCGCGGAGCTATGGAAACGTCCCGAAGAACGCAGGGGAGAGCCCGGGCATCTGACGCAGCGGCGCAGCGAGCTCCTCTTTGGTTTTTGTCGAGGCGTTGCCACAAAGGCAGTGATTAGGAACACTGCCTAACGGCTTCCTCCGAGAAGCGTCCCGTGCCTTCCTTCGGAAATTAAGGCAAAAGCAGGACTCGGAGAACTGTTTAGGTTCTTTAACCCGACATGTCTGCTCGCGGTCACGCAAGGAGTATTTTAAGGGAGTAAAGGGAGGCAGCGAATACTTTCCGAGGCGGAGTAGTCAGGGCTCAAGCCCGCGTACCGAGAAAGCGGGCGGGGCGGGGCATGTAACGTCCCTGAGGGGAGGTCACCGCGGCCAAGGCGGGGATGCGCCCGAAGCGGGGATGAGACCCCAGGAGCCGCGGAGCAGACGAAGCGGGGAGCGCAGAGAAGCCGCGGTCAGCGGCGGGAGACGCGCAGGGCAGAGCGCAGGGGTGGCAGACGCGGGGTCGCAGGCACTCACCCGTCATGCTGCCAGTCTGGGTGCTGACTGACCGCCCAGCCCGCACGCTCTCCAGATTTTGCATCTGCCTTGCTTCTTTCATCCAAGCCTAGCGGCCTATGCTGCCCAGGAAATTTGCTCCTGTCAGGCATGATCCTGACAGAGCGACTCCGCCGTAGCTTCCCCCTAGCAACTGATAAGCAACGGCCAGCTCGGCGCAACCAGATGACGTAAACCCAGCCGTTCTGCCGGGCGCGTCTCGTGACGTCAGAGCTAGGCTCAGACCCATCTGCCCTGCGTTCGCCTACGGCCGAGCCCCTGCGTGTGTGACACTCTGGGACGTTAATCGCGTGCGGCCTGTATTCCTGGTGCTCTTTGATTTGAACAGAATCATGTCACCTGAGGATTTGCCGGTTTGCGCTCCCAGGTTGGGCAGAGCGATGTGGGCATGGTTGTACAGTTGAGAATTTTGGTCAGAGGGCGAAAGAGCTTGTCGAAGTGGAAACCTCCCCTGTTCCGTTTAGAGAACCCGAGGGGCGGCGGCGGGAGCTGGCGAGCCAGGACGTTGTCCTCCCCAGCTGTCGGCCGTCGCTCGGAACCCAGTGCCCTGGAACGCCATGGGGCGGGTCCCCTTCTTACCAGGGACGCGAACATATTAAGAGACGCAGCCGTAATTGGGGGAGAGGTGTGAGGAGGAGGAAGTAACAAGTGGCTTCCGGAAGGGTAGTTGTGACGTAGCTGCTGCGTCACGTGTCGCCCCGCCCCGCCCCACCGCCTCAGCACTGGGAATTGAATCCGAGAGCTCACGCATACTCGGCAAGCCTGGCACCACTGCGCTACATCCCCAGCCCTCCTTATTTATTTATTTAGACAGAAACTTGCTAAATTTCTCGAGGTGGGTTGGAACTTGTTATTGTCCTGCCTCAGCCTCCCAAGTAACTGGAATTACAGGCGTGGGCCACCATGGGATAAGGGCCAAGTTCTTATTGAAGTGTCTCAGACCAGACTCGAAGCTCCTCCCTTCCCAGTGACTCAGAATCTTTTCCCTCACCAACTCATGTTACACAATTTGAAATACAATAACAAGACAGAGCTCTCAAACTATGATAGCAAAAGCTGAACGTTATGAAAATAACATTATTTTGAAAGTACTGAACTGAGGATCTTCAGTGTTGATGGAATGGCATTGATTCATTATTGTTCTTTACCGTATAATATTTAACTGTAGGTGTATACCCCAGTCTGAATTGAAGAGTATTTGGACCATCTGCAGGTTTTTGTTGCAAAGAAACAAAAATTCTTCTATAAGTACTTTTGTATATGTCTCACGTTTATACACACAGATTTTCTTTAGGAACCATATTTAGACTAGAATTCTTGGGTTTTTATTACTGAGTTTTACTAGACAATGCTGAAATATTTTCCAAAGGGATTGAACCAATTACATAGCTGTACATTCCCATCAATTCTTGCATGTCAGAACTTATCAAAGTGTACACTTTACGTAAGTGCATTTTGTTGTATGTTAATTATACCTTAACAAAGTGGTTTTGTTTTAAATAAAAAATTCTTGGTATTGCCAAACTTTTTAATGTCTCTCAGTTTACTTGATACATAATAATTTTTCTGGGTGCAGTGGTGCCAACTTATAAACCCCGCTAGCCCAGACGCCAAGGTAGGAGGATTACAAGTTTAAGATCAGCCTTGGCAACTGTGACCCTATCTCCAAATATTAAAAGAAGTGTGGGAGAGGGACTGGGGATTTAGCTCAGCGGCAAAGCGCCTGCCTGGCAAGCGCAAGGTCGTGAGTTCAGTTCCCGGTACCGGAGAAAAACCAAAAACCAAAAAAAAAAAAAAAAAGTGTGGGAGTGTAACTCAGTCGTAGAGCACTTGCCTAGTGTGTACAAGGCCCCGGGTTTAGTTCCCAATGCTGAAAAAAAAAAAAAAAAAAAAAAGACAAGAAATTTGTGAAGTATTTTGTGATTTTACTTTCCCTGATTTCTACTTAGACTGAATCTCTTATCCTATGTCGATTGGTTGTACATGTTTCTTTTCTATAAAATACTCTTTTTTTCTTAGCTGGTTTTTTCTTATTTTCTATGGATTGATAAGCATGCTTTATATATTCTGAATATCTGTTTTCAGCTGAGCATATATATGGTAAACATTATTTCAGCCTGCTTTTTCACTTTCTATATGATGTCTTTCAGTGCACAGTTCTTTAATATGTCAAACACACTAACAGTTTTAATAGTTTTTAATCTTTGATCATTAAAAAATAATTTTCCTACTCAAGACTTTTTTGGATGTGTTGTGTGATGCTGGGATTGAACTCAGGGCCTCACATATTCTAGGCAATGCTCCACCTCTGAGCTATATCCTTAGACCTAAAGATATTTTTATATTTTCTTCTAAAAATCGTAGCTTATTCCTTTCATGTTTAATCCTCATGCATATAGAATTCATTTGTGTATAGTGTGAAGTAGATATCAATTTTTATTTTATTTTCAATGGCAAATAATTGATTATCCTGGCACTATTTTCTCACTGATTTGCAATGCCACCTCTGTCTTTTTTTTTTTTCCCCCCTCCGGTACCAGGAACCGAACTCAAGACCTTGCGCTTGCCAGGCAGGCGCTTTTGCCTTTTGCCGCTGAGCTAAATCCCCAGCCGCCCTCACCTCTGTCTTATATCAGATTTCCCAATACACATTAGTGCATTTCTGGGCTGCCCCCGCCCATTGTTACTTTCTTCAAACCTTGAAATTCTTGGTCATTTAATCTTCTCTGTAAATTCAGGTTCGTACTGCCCCATTCCTAAAAAAATTCTACTTAAATATTGATTGAAAGTTATTGAATTCATAGATAAATTTGTTTTTTTGTTTTGTTTTTTCCTGTACCAGGAATTGAACTCATGACCTCATGCTTGCCAGGCAGGCACTGTGCCGCTGAGCTAAATCCCTAGCCCTTATAAATTTGATATATGTAGCTTTCATATTCACGAACATGGTACATTTGTATGAGCCTAGTGTTTTTTAGTCTTATAAATGACATTTAAAAATTATATTCATAAGTATTTATGACTAATGAATGAAAATGTGATTTTTATATATTAATCATATTGAGAAATCTTGCTAAACTGCTGTTGATTGTATTAATACTAGTATGTCTATTTATTTTAATTGCTTTTATTGTATTACTTATTTTTCATTCCTTTGTTTTCTAGACTAAAACTATATCATCTACAAATAATGATAATTTTATTTGTGTCTTCCTAATCTTGAAATCTTTTCTCATTTTCTTTTCTTACTGAACTCTAGAATCTCCATGGAAATGGTGACTACCGCTGATGGTGCCAGCTATCCTCTTCTTCCTGATTTTAAAGAAAATGATTTTAATAATTAAACCTTAAAATTTTTATTTTTTGCTGTAGGCTTTTGATAGCTGTCCTTTATCAATGATACAAATTCCTTCCTATTCTTTTTTTAAATAGATGTTGAACTTTATCAAATGATCATGGTAGATAGCTTTTGAGTTTAATAAAAGTCTTTTTTGTACTAGCTTGCTGAGAATTATCATGATAGATGTTGATTTATCCTCTGTATCTATTAAGATGACCCCATAGTTTTTCTTCTTTAATCAGATGATATGGTACTTTATACTGGTAGATTGCTTAATGTTGAGTCACTTTTGTGTCCCTGTGATAGACTTAACTTGATCTGATGTTATTTTTTATTAATTGCTGTATTAAATTTACAGAATTTTATTTCAGACGTTTGGATCTGTGTTTATGAATGATTTGATGTATTATTTATCATGGTCTATTTGGTTTTGATGGTTTGATTAGGCCAGCCTTATAAATGAGTTAGGAAGTATTTCTTGCTTTTCTTTTCTTAGAAGAGTTTATGTAGGATTGAAATTACTTGTTCCTAGAATGTTCTTTCAAACTTGCTTAGAAAGCTATCTAGTGCTATCTAAAGTGGGAGGATATTTTGTTACTAATTGTATTCCTTTATTGGTTATAGGAGCACTCGGACTACTTCTTGGTCAGGTTTTGCTAAGTTATGTTTTTCTAAAATTTAGATAGATAAATTTTTTTTTTGAGACAGGGTCTTGCTCTATTGTCCAGGCTGGCCTCAAATTGCAGCAGTCCTCCTGCCTCAGCCTCCTGGGTGCTGGGATTACAGGCATGTGCCATCATGCCCAGTTCTCTCACTATCTTCTAGTTTATACGCTGTTAACATGTATTATTAGTTTAAGACTTATCTTTGTTTCTTGGCAAATTTTGCCAGATATTTATCAATTTTATTTTTTTTCATAAAATGATAATTTTTCTTTGTATATTTTTGTATTATTATATTACAAATTCTCCAGTTGACTGCTTAGCTTCTAAATTTTTGGGTTTGTTTTTTTTTTTCTTTTTGAGACAGGGTTTTGCTATGCAGGTCAGGCTGGCATTGAGCTCACTTTGTGGCGCAGGCTGGTCTTGAACTTGTGGCAATCCTCCTGCCTCAGCCTCCCAAGTGCTGGAATTACAGGCATGTGCCACCATGCCTAGCGCTTTTGGTTGTTTTTTTTTTTTTTTTTAGCTTCTTAATTTTAAAAGTCAACCCTCATGTAGTTGGTTGTAAATTCTTCCAGGAGCTGCTTTACTGTCTACTTTTCAGGATTTCTTTTGTAATTTGCCCCACTGATGATGTTAAAAATCATTTTTATGTACATATTTAAGGCCACAGTTTCTCTCTAAATACTGTGTTAGTAGCATTCCATAAGTTTATTTTTCTCCAGTATTAATATATTAAATATCCGAAGTGATTTCTTTCTTTAACCTATGAATTATTTAGAAATATAATTTAAAAATAATAAAGTTATTTTGTTACTGATTTTTTAATGTAAAGTTTATGTGCAGGGAATTTGATCTATGTGAAACCTGTTCTTTTGAAATTTGTTCAGACTTGTTTTGTGGCAAAGGTCAGCACTGTTCTACAGAACTCTGCAATGAAGGAAATATTTTGTATTTGTACTCTGTAATGTGCAAGTCACCAGCCACCTGTGATAACTACCTGAAATGTGGCTAGTGTAGCTGAAAAAGTGAATTTTTTTTGAGGAACTGAATTTTTAACTTTACTTAGGTTTAATTAATTAAAATATAAAATTTATAGGGCTACATATGTGGGGTTTTTTGTTTGCACAAATTTATTAACATTTAATAAATTTTTAATATTTAATCTTTTCTTCAATGAGCATCCATGCAGCTGTCTGCAATAACAATACTGCTTTTAACACTGTTTCCAGATTTCAACTCATACAGTACTTGAGGAATGCAAAATGTTTTGTTTTGATGCTAATAACTTTGTTTTGAAGAATTTATTTTTTCTGTTTTGTGTATTTGGGTACTTTGTGTATAAATTTTTTCAATTTTTATTTTTATTAGTATATGCTTGCAGTACATAATGATCACATTTTTCATGGGGAGTTGATATGTGTACGTGACACACCTTAATTCTTTTTAGATCTCCACTTCCCCTTCCTCTCCCTCCCTCTATCTCCTGGTCCCCTTCACTTTTGTAAAAGATTTATTTCCTTATTTCCTATTGTCTATCCCATATTTTGCTCTTTATTTGTACTTTTGGTTTTGCATATGAGAGAAACCATGGAATATTTAAGCTCGTTCATCTGATTTGTTTCACTTAATATGGTCTCATGTTTCATCCATTTTCCTCCACATGACTCGTATCCTTCTTTATGGCAGAGAAGTACTCCATTGTGTATAAATGCCGCATTTTCTTTATCCATTCAAGTGTAACCACACATGGCCATTGGTTACTGATTGGACAGCATAGCTCTAGGTTCTTCTCCTGAAGTTTTGATTAGATATAGTTTAAGCCTTCTAGTTAAAATTTTTTTTCTCTTTCCTTTTCAAAGCTACACTCTGCCTAATTTCTTCAGATCTATTTTCCAGTTTCATATTTCTTTGGCTGTGTACTTTTTTTTTTCTGGTTTGTTAGGAACTGTGTGATTTTTGCAACTTCTTTTAAACTTTCAAAATAAAAGATACCTGCATACTGTGTGTGTGTGTGTGTGTGTGTGTGCGCGCGCGCGCTGTCATCCCTCAGTATACATGGAGCATTGGCTCCAGACTCCCCAGAGATCCTCAAAATATATGGATGTTCGAGTATAATGTGGCATAGTCATTGCCTATACTCTTTGCACATCTGTTTATAATACATAATACAATTTAAATGATGTGGAAATAGGTTTTATATTGTGCTGTTTGGAGAATAATGACAAGAAAAGAAGGTCTTTACTGTTCAATATGTCACAATTTTTTCCTGAATATTTTTAATCTGTGGCTTGTGTAATTCATGAATGCAGAACCTGTACATATGGAGGGCCAACTACATATTATATTATGTATATATAATCCCCAAATCTTTCCTGTTCTTTGACTAACCATTACCTGTATTACTACTTGTCTTTCTTTGGATTCCTGGTTTTATTCCATTTTCAGTCTGTTAGTATTTCAAAGTACTCAAAGCATTTGTATTATTTTCCTTACTTTCTTGCTAGCTTAGCCATATTTTATCCAATACTTGTAGGTGCTTTGTAGCTGATTGGGAGGGTGGGATAGCTTATCCACAGTATTGTCAGAAATAATAGCCATTATTCATATTAGGTATGAACAAGTATCAAAGTTTTATTTAGCTCAGGAGTTGGCAAACTTCTATGAAGACCCAGATAGTAAATATTTTAGGTGTTTTGGGCCATTTTGTCTCTTGCAACTGCTTTACTCCGCTGCAAAAGCAGCCATAGACAATTGGTAAACAAATGAGTGTAGCTGTTTTTCAGTATAACTCAATTAATTCTCCCTATTTAACTCATAACATACCCTCCAGTTGTGGCATGAGACCTTCAGATACTATTTGAGGAATGGGGATTTAAGGACTCAGAGAGGAAGTGACTGTCTAAATCAAATAGTCAAGTTAAATACAATATATCTGGCTAATTTTCTTCAGGCAAATGAAACATAATACATTTGAGGTTAACTTTTTATTAGATTTTATTTTTAGAGCAGTTTTATGCTCCATGTACAATTGAGAGGATGGTACATAGATTCCCCGTGTGTCTCCTGTTCCCTAGATGCGTGGTCTTTCCTATTAGCCACATCACTACCAGATTGGTGTACTTGTTACAACCAATGAGCCTTCAGTGACCTATCGTTGTCACCCAAAGCACACAGTTTACACTATGAGTCACTGTTGGGGTGGTCTATTCTGTGGGTTTGGGCAAATCTGCGATGAAATGTATCCACCATTGTGGTATCAGTCAGATGAGTTTCACTGTCCTGAAAACTCTGTGCTCCACCTATTCATTCTTTCTTTCCACTACCTTGTCCGACACTGATCTTTTTACTGGCTTGCTAATTTTTTTTTCAGAATGTTGTGTAGTTGGAATCATACAGTATATGGCCTTATCAGATTGACTTTTTTCACTTGGTAATATGCATTTAAGTTTTCTTCATGTTTTTTCTTGGCTTAACTCTTTTCAGAGCTGAATAAAATTTCATTGTCTGGGTATACTACAATTTGTTTATCCATTCACCTATTGAAAGACATCATGGTTACTTTCAACTTTTGCCATTTATGTATAAAGTTGCTATAAACACCCAGGTGTGTTTTTGGCAGACAAGTTTTCTTACTTGCAGTCACTTGGGTTCCATGCATGTTATCTGAAAAGAGAGGCAAAGCAGAATAAATCATGGCCTCTGTCCTTAGGGCGCATGTTACCGCCGGTGTAACCTGCCTCAAATGGGGAGGGGGCACACACAGCCCACTGCCTCAATGTCCACACTTAGTTCTCCCTGTCTGGCTGACACCTTTTAGCCTTATTCCACTGGTGTCCCATATTCTTTAAAAAGTGTGTGTTAAGGCTGGGGTGTAACTCAGTCATGGGGTGCTTGCCTGAGGGTTTGATCTTCAGCACTAAAAGAAAAAGTGTTGTTTTCCTAAGAATGTAGTAAGTACGGTAGTTTGGTTCTCTCACTTCCTCTATAGCTTACACAGTAAGGGCCCAAGCAGTGGTTACCTGCGAAGTGTTCCTGTATTGTTCAGTGAGGACAAATGTTCTCACACTCTCAGAAGGAAAATGCTGATTTTGAAGGCTGCTCAGAGTGGAGCAGTGTTCTGTAATTTGTAAACTTTGGGATCTATAGAAAGCAGGCTCACAAATAAAATTTCATCAAATCAGTTTTACGTACCACTACTTTTTGTTGTTGTTTTCTTATACTGAGTGTTGAACCCAGGCCCTTCACCCTGAGCTACATCCCTAGCCCTTTGAAAAACTGTACTTTAAATTTTAACACAGGGTCTTGCTAAGGTACTACTCTGCTCCGGCTGGGTTCAGACTTGTGATCCTCCTTCCTTAGCTTGTCAGGGTGCTGGGATTATAAGCATGAACCGCCATGTTTCGTATAAAACTGTAGACATATGCAAGCATTTATATACAGCACTTCTATACACTGGCAAATATTATTATAACATCAACAGAAAGGGTCAACAGAAAGTAAGTTCAGACTTCTAAACATCATTAATACGTGGCTCATTTGTATCCCTGAGAGCCTGGCAAATGATTCCTTGGATGTAGGAAGTATAGCATAAACGTGCCTTGAACATTTTCTTCAGAAGTGGAAAAAAAAGAGGAAGAGTCTATGGCTATACCTCCCTGAATGCGCCCGATCTCATCTGATCTCAGAAGCTAAGCAGGGTCTGGCCTGGTTAGTACTTGGATGGGAAAAGTCTACAGAAAGGAGGAGAAACCTGATAGTCTGTCCTTGCGTCTCCTATAATGGCTTTTGTTAATTAATCTAGGAGCTGAATCATTGGTTTGTCTAGGTGACACAATTACACATTTCAAACAAAAATGCCATTAAAATGTTGATTTTGACACTAGCATGGGTTAATTTTTCTAGTGTAGTTTGCCCTACACATCAGGCACTCAGCAATTACTTGGTAAATATTTGCCATATGAATGAATGAAATGCAAACCCCCTCCCAAGGCTGGCAGCCCACCTGACATGATGAAAGTACTTTGGCCTGAAGAATGGAAGGCGCTGAGAGAGAGCTTGCTGGAATGCTGCACATGTCTCTGTGGGGATGTATGTGAGCAGGGCACACACAGCCTCCAGGAGGCACCCAGGGAGGAGAGGAATGCTCAGGACTGAAAACCACAGTTGGGCTGTTCCTCTCCAGTGATCCCTGACTTGTCCACTCTAGGCTTTCCCAGGACCCCCTTGTGTCCTGAGTTGTCAGTGCAAGATCACACCGCCCAGTTGGGGCAAAGAACAATTATAGATTTCAAAACAACTTTTCCAACATTTTTTGCCATAATCCATAATAAGAATGCATTTTATTTCATGAACTAGGAAATGCACCAATAAATACATAATTGAAGTTTCATAACCCAATAATTAGCCTTTGTACATATGGTGTGTTGATACTTCTATTCTATTCTATTCTATTCTATTCTATTCTATTCTATTCTATTCTATTCTATTCTATTCTATTCTATTCTATTCTTATTCTATTCCATTCCATTCCATTCCATTCCATTCCAGAATGAGTGACACACTACATTGATTTCACAGTATTCTAATGGGCTAACACCAGACTGGGACCTTTAGGGATGACAGGCTTCAGACTCTCCATCTCAGGAACCCTGGTGCAGAAAGAAGGATGACTTTTCCCACACCCACACATGAGAATGTGCTTAGGTCCCAGAAAAGTATAACATAAATCCCTGTTTTCTAGAATCTGAATAAGAAAGCTGAAAGGAGAGGTCATGGCTTCTATATTTACAATATTCTACAATGATCAGCAAGGTTCTCTACTGTGACCTTTCTTAGGTAGGGAAGAGGCTGCCACAGACTTTTGACTGCTTCAGAGAGGGACTCCCAGGCAGCTCCAGCACTTCCCAACTGGATGCCACCAGTCAGAAAAGTGGCAGCAGCACAAAGCTGCCTCTCCACCATGAGAATCCGCGTATCAGTCCTTCCCAACAGTGCTCCTCATTCCCTGAGGTTTCAGTGAGTATCTTGAGGGAGGGAGCTGGGGAGAAGGTTCTGTGATAAGATGAAATCATGGGGCTGGGGATTTAGCTCAGCGGCAAAGCGCCTGCCTGGCAAGCGCAAGGTCGTGAGTTCGGTTCCCGGTACCGGAAAAAAAAAAAAAAACAAACAAACAAAGATAAGGAAATCATGAGAGAAACAACTCAGAGCTTCTGACTTATTTTGTTGTATTGTGGCTTGGAAGAGGAGTGGAATGCAGTCTTTTTCTGCCATATTTGACTACAGAGCCCTTTTGAAATATAAGTCCTGAAAATCTGCAGTACACGATTTAGGCAGTGCCTCCCCAAGTGACAGCTGTCGGCTGCTTCACTATCTATGAGCAGAGCAGAGGCAGGCTAGAGCCGCCTTCACTCCTGCACAGAGAAGATGGGCCAGAGTTATGATGCTTTGCCTGTGTTTGGCTAATAAAGTGAAAAAGCAGTAGAATTTTACTAATATTTTACTAATATCAAGAAGTCCCTGGTTGCTTATGAATTCATCACTTGTAGTTTTAACTATTCAAAAGAACCACAGTGCTCTGTGACATGAAGTAATTTAGCAACTTGCTGAGGCTGTCCAGACTGCGCTAAGAAGCAGTCACCAAGTCAGTGAGCAACCTGGCTAGCTCTCCAGTTTTCAGTCATATTGTGACCTTACTGTCACTGTAACTCTAGTGAAATTATATTTTATAGTATTTGACACTTTTCTAGTACTTGTGGTATTTTCTGATATTTTCTGTTAGCTGATACTGTGGACCTTCATAAAGCTCTCAGGACAAATTCTTCATAAATGTCAACAATATACTATTAAGTTTGAACTTTATCCCTTGGAAAAACAGAAAAAGGCTTTACATACAACTGAGCAAGTTGTGCCCTGCCCACCTCCAGGGGCTGTACTCGTATAAACTAAGGCACAAATGAGGCCCTTTGGAGTTGTGTGGCAGAGAGTAGTCTTGTAACATGCTTAGGTTTTACACTATAAAAGACAAAACAAAGTAACAGTTGGTCAAAATGTCCAATCCATTCTCCTTCATTCCACTAATTCCTGTGATTTTCAGTAAGTGTGGCATTTCAGTGTGGGTATGCATGGAAATCTTAGAGTCTAGATTCACACGCAGGCCCCTCAGTTCCTCTTTTGGAAATCTAACATTCAGTTCTATCAGTAGTAAAACAGGAGTAATGACAATACTTCGCAGGCTGAAGCAAGGTAAGGCAATAAAGCTCTTTATGAAGTCATCAGGAGTCATCTAAGCAGGCCAGCTTCTCCTGTAACTCTCTGCCCTGGGGCTTCAAGCTCAAGTTTGCCATTTCAAGACCAAATGGAACAGAAGAATCCTACAGGAAATTATAGGAAGAAGTGAGTTGCAATAGGTCTAAACATTGTAGTTTTCAAAGAGCATATTGTGCCTTAACTTTATGATTTGCTCCCAATCTGGAGTGTGGCACCCCTGAACAGTGAAACCTATCTGAATTTTTCGTACTTGTTACTAAATGTTTCTGCTGCCCTACATAGGCATTAAATAATTCCTTGGTTCTCATTATCTCATTTTCAGGATATCCTCATTATCTTGGTTCCTTGTATTGCACCATTATATTTATATCTCAACATAAAAAACAGAACAACCGGGCGTGGTGGCGCACGCCTGTAATCCCAACACTCAGGAGGCTGAGGCAGAAGGATCGTTGAGTTCAAGACCAGCCTGGGCTACAATGTGAGCTTAAGGCCACCCTGAACTGCATAGCAAGACCCTGTCTCAAAAAGACCAAAAAACCACAAAAACAAACAAACAAACAAAAAACAACAGACTCCTGATATTGGAGGCAACTTCTCTCTGTATCACTTAACTATAAAGTGAGCAGTCACATTTCTAAAGAGAAACAAAATTACAAGCGTCTCCAGAGCACATTTTGTAATGTGGGATTTCATGATGCTAAAGTGGAAGTAGATACATGAAAGGGACACTAGAAGGACTGGTATAGTTACAGTTCATACCTTGGTTAAAAAAAAAAATCGACAGTTTCTTCACCAACTTGCAAAGTCGCAACCATTCTGCAGTCTTCTTAATAGCATCCCATCCCTTACTTGCACTTATGTACAAATCTGTTGTCCCCAAAGTCCCAGAACTGGCTTCCTCGCGCTGTTAGGCCATTGCCTTTGTGTTAGTCATTGTCTCTGTGCAGCCAGCAGTGTCTTCTCCAGTGTCCCTCTTGGGATCCTCCATAGAGTCCCTGCTTCCACAGAAACCTCTCAGCTTGAACTGTCTTGTGAGCAGCAATTTATAGGCAGCTGCTCTATATTTCTTGGAAATGAGGTTGTAGAGGACAGGGTTGATGGATGCACTGAGATAGAAAAGTTGCAGAGCAACAATGTTAAAGTACTGAGAAAAGTACATCATGTGGGAGTCTTCTGTGTTTATATAAATGATTCTGCCAATGTGGAAAGGCAACCAGCAAACTATAAATGCCAGAACCACGACCACTGCAAAAACAAGACATGGTGCCATAATTAGCAAAAGCATTCTAAGTCAAATAAGGGTTCCTTTGAGAAACCATCTGCAGTAACAGCAAAATAAATTAGAACTTGTACCTAGCCCAATCCCTGTGCCAAAAAACCCAGCCAACCAACCAACCAACCAACCAAAACCCAGTTAACTACATCGATATTTACTGAAACCTGCATGTTAGGCTCCTATCTGTGTCCTCAAGACTGACTATAAACCAGAAAGGCAACTGTTCCTAACCGTTTTGGCAGACTTCCTTCCACAAACCCACTTGAAAGACATATTCTTTGTTTCTTCATTGTAAAGAATTCTGCAAAAGGTCTACCCGATCTTTGATTTTTTTTTTTAATGTGGGCATGGTTCACTTTAGCTTTCAGGATAACTTAGCATTAAATAAAATCTTCAGCTTAACGCAGTCTACCCTGTTTTTGCTCAAGGGCACTATGAGTAATCCATAGCAGTCGCATCTGACAGACAGGCAACTGAGTTAAGAGCCCCCAGTTTCTCATCCTAGCTTTCAGGAGCTTTGGAAAATCATTGCTGTTCGCTAGACCCAGTTATCTCACCCTCGGAGGTGCCCAGGGTCCCCCAGAGGGGGAGCCTCGGTTCACGAACTTAATTTTTTTCCATGATTCTCGTCACAAGTAGAATTGGATGAGAAGCAAATCAAATTCAATGGCTGGGTTCAGTGTTGATCTTATAGGGAAATTTGATTCGATTCTCATGCAGTTCGGCTCGCGACCAGAATCGTGGGAAGAATTAAGTTCATGAAACGGGATGGCTTTGTCTGGAGACTGACGTACGGCGGAAGGCCCTCGGAGCTCGCGCGGCCCAGCGGCTGGTGGAAACCCGGCTGGCGTGCTTGGAACAGAGGGGGCGCCACTTACGCAGGACGCGGACGCTTTGCCGGTGGCCCTTTTCCCGCCCCGAGGCAGCCGGGCCTTGCAGCAGACCCCGGGTCTTCCACAGCTTCCGCCCCATGAGCCCGTAGAGGATGCTGAGGCACAGGAAGGGCAGGAAAAAGTAGGCCGTGGTGACCCACAGCATGACGCGGAGCGCGCCCAGCTGCGCGCCACTGGGCCGGCACTCGCGGCTGAACAGCGCTGCGGCCTCGCGTTCCGACGGCGGGGACGGCGGCGCCCCGGGGGACGGCGTGAGCTGCGCAGTCCCGTTAAGGTGTGGGCGCCCAGGGCTGCCGGGGTCCTGCTCGACGCCCACCAGAAAGAAGAAGGGCCCTGCGGAGAGCAGCGCCACGGCCCAGAGCGCGGCGATGAGCGCGCGGACGCGGCGCCGGGTGACCAGCACTCGGGCCCGCAGCGGGCGGCAGATGGCCAGGTAGCGCTCGACGCTCAGAGCGGTCATGTGCAGCAGCGTGGCGTAGGTGCAGCCCTCGCCCAAGTAGAGCGACAAGCGGCAGAGAAGCGACCCGAACACCCAGGGACGCGAGCGCCACAGGCGGTACAGGTCGAAAGGGAGCCCGAGCAGGATGAGCAGGTCGGACACGGCCATGCTGCCCAGGTACAGGTTGGTGGTGGTCCGCATGTCCCGGTAGCGTCCGATGAGCAGTACGGTCACCACATTGCCGCTCACCCCGACGGCGAACAGACCCAGACACACTGCGGTCACCGGCACCAGCGCCCCCAGGGGGAAGGCGGAGCAGCGGCGCTCATCGCAGGGCAGCAGGTCGGCCCACGCCGGCTCCCGAGCGCCCTCGGGGCTGTCGCTGCCGTTCCAGGGGCTCCCCATGGGGGCCAGGGGCCCGACGGCGGACGCGGTGGCGCGGGGGCACAGGCGCACCCCTCCGCGCACAGCCAAAGCCCGCGGCGCGGGGCTCGGGAGCGCAGGTCTTCGCCGGGGTGGGAGCTGCAGGGCGCTGGGAGCCGCAGCGCCAAGTCTCCGCCCCTGGCCGCAGCTCCCGCGCCCTCTCCCAGTCCTTTTGTATCCCAGGGCGCTTCCCTCGCAACCAGCTGGCGCACCCCGCCAGGCGGCGACCGCAGAGCACGAGCCCTGCCGCGTCCTGGGTAGCAGTTTCTGAACCCTAGAGAAGTTGCTTCCTTGGACCCAGCGCAGGGCGGGTGTTTTGGTCAGTCAAGTACACAAGGGACTTTGTGAGGGATCTTAGGTACCGGCTGTGTTCTGGAGGTTTGGAAACGCTCTCACTGACTACCAGGAAGTAGTACAATCCTAAACAGTAGGACAGTCTAGATCAGAATTTAGAGTCCCCCGAAAATCTGGTCTTGCTCCGCAAAAGACTTGCAGTGCGACACTGGACCAGTGCTGTCCTCACCCAGCCCACTTCTCTGTAAATTTGCAAGTGGTAGTGGAGGCTGTTGACTGAATAATTTCAAGGGTCCCTGAAATCTACAAACATGAACATGTTTACTTAGCATAAGAAAGATTTAAGTGTTTATATGTACCCATGTGATACGCTGTTTTATCTACAGAATGCTTTCAAAATGTTTTATAAACCAGGCTATTTGCCGACATCTGAAAGAATAAAAATTTTGGAAAAGGATGGAAACTGACGTCTGAGTCAGTCCTCATGACAACAGCTGAGGTGCAGTGCTTAGGCTGTGGCTGGCCCTGTGCTTTCTCCTTAATCCTGTGTCCCGAGGAGCTCCTTCCCTGTGGACCAGGTGCGTCTCCCTTTAGATCAAGCAGGCAGTGAGAGGCAGCCTGGGACGTGAAAGGTGGCTGGTCTAACCCTGCAGCCCTGACGCCTCACCAGTGTCCGGTTCCACCTCCTTAATGTCTTGGCCTCGCTTGTCCTCACCCAAGCCTCTCAAGTTGCTCTTCTGCCAACTCCTCTATCTCTGTGCTGACAAACTCATGTCTAGTGTTTTTTTCCTCCACCCATCTTTCTGTGGCTTAAAAATTCAGCCTTCCGGCCTGGCATGGTGGTGCACACCTGTAATCACAGCACTTGGGAAATTGAGGCAGGAGGATCACCTGAGTTTGAGGCCAGCCTGAACTACTTAGTGAGATCCTATCTCAAATAAAACCAAAAATAGTTTTTTTCAACCTTTTCCTTCAAGTTCCCTTCTTCCTTGTTTTGAACCTGAAACCTGCCTTTACACTAGGAAGTGCTTCCCTTCAGTTCTCTTCACCTGCAGGAACCATACCCTTGGTGGGGCTCCCTGTCACACCCCCAGCTCTGCTATTTTTAGCTGTCCTAAAGCCTAGCTTTATCAGGGACTGCCCTCTCCAGGTCTTCCCCTGGGCTAACCCTTATTCCCAGGGACTGGGTGCCTCCCTGTCTCCCATAAGTACCCACCCACTCACGTGATTCTTGCCTTGGCCTCTCGGGGTGTTGACCTCCTTTCTATCAGGATCATGCCCTGGATCCCTTCTATAAGCGATCCTGGTGGGTGGCTGCCGTCATCCCCACTTCTGATCCCACCCCCACTCTTCCAGCTCACTTTTACTTGTGCTTTCCCTCCTATAATCCTTCACCCCGTGGAGTCCTCCAGTCAGTCCCTCCTGACTTTTGTCTGTCCCTCAACTTCCTCATGTCTTCACTTCCCTTCATTTGCCAGCCTAAACTCCATGAGGGTCATGACCACCCCAGTCTCGCCCCGATCCCTTGCCCTGCTCTCTGATGTCGTATCTGTCTACTCAAGCAGGCCACTGGCATGACCTGGCTAAGGGAAATTCTCTGCCCACTCCATGCAGGCTCCCACCCAGCTGCTGAGTTGTTTCACTGGAAACGTGTGACTCCAGCAGGAGCCTAGTGACTCCTGCCACCCAAATTCCCTGCTTCCTTCCCCACCCCCCCTCCTGTCATGTGTCCTCCTTTCTCCTTAAATACCTTCCGCTCCTCCCTCTAGGCTGGCGACTGTGTGCTTGTTTTTCTGAAAATAAAAAAAATAGAAGCAATCAGAAGGAAATTTCTCAACCTTCCACTACCATACATATACTCCCTCATTTTTCTCCCTGGACAGATGAATGAATTGAAGGTACTTGTATCTGGAGTCAGCTCAGCCCCTCAAGCGCTCTATTTCCCTCCTGGAGGGAGCCACTCTTTAATTCCCTCTCTCATATATCATCAACATTTCCTCCCTTCTGCATCATTTCCGTGATTTCAGCAAAACTCAAGAGAGGTTCTGCATTCACTGACTCCACTTTTTCTCTTTCCCTTCCTCCTCCCCTTAGCCAGAGAAAATGTAATTGCTTCGTTTATAGTTGATGTGGTTTTCTCTGCGTTCTTGGCGGTTAGGCAGCAAGAGGAAATGATCTAGCGAGTAAAGCACAGGCCAGTTGATCCGGGGCACAGATCGTCTAGGTAGTAAGCCCTTCTCTCGCCGGGTCTTTTCCTTAGGTGACCCACGTGTGTGGGAAGGGAAGCCAGGTGGCTGTAAGATCTTTGTGCAGACAGAATAGAGACAAGTACCTAAGTCTGTGCTGGTTCCTGGGCTGGCAGTTGTTAGACTCTTCCTGCCTTGCAAAGGGCAGTTGCTGTCCCCTTCCAGCCTAGCCACCAGCTTCTCTGCTGTCTTCTGGCAGAGTCTGTGACTTGAGAATATATGGTCTTTTCCTTTGATTAAAGGGACTTCTGGCTCGCACAGGCTGTAGATCCGAGTCTGCTAGTGCCTCTCCCCTCCCACTGGCACATCCCCAACGGTCACTAGTTAGCATCCTGGCGCCTGAATCCTGTCCCCTCTTTGCCTATTCTGCATCACATACCTGTCACTCAGATACTCTTTTTCTCTGTTGAATTTTCCCTTCACAGTTTATTACCAATACACTATTTAATTTTCTGAGGTATTTTGTTATCTATCTCACTTTGTCTCCCAGTACCATGTGCGCCAGAAGGCAGGGCTTTTTAATCTATTGTGTTCATTGCTCTTTCCCTGGTGCCTGTTGAATTAGTACCTGGCTCAAAATAAGAATTTGATAACTATTTATCTCTGGGAATGAATAAGCCTCTGCAGAAGCAGGGACCTTTGCTTTTTTTTAGTTTTTGGTGTGGGGACCTGCGCTCTGATTGCACTGGGTACTCAGTACGAGTGCATTGATAACCTAGTTCAGGAGAGAGCACTGATTTGAAGAGGTGGATGCACAGAAGGCTTTCTGATACCGTTGTGGCAGTGGGGTTCAAGCAAGACGTGGCCCTTACCGTGTAGCTGAGCCTTTATTGTTAATGGGTTGCCATCCCCGTTCGTGAAAGAAATGGGGCAAGTTATGTAAAAACTGACCAAATCTGTTCTCTACAGTTTTTTAGTTCTCCAGTCCTTCACCAGCCTCCTGACCTCACAGTTCATCTGATGAGAGGGAGTTCTCAGTGGACCTGGAATGGTGTGCACCTCTCATGTGATCATGAGAGGACAGGAGTGAGTCCAGGTTTGGATTGAGTATAGCCCTGTTCCTGGAAGAGGTTGATGTCATTAATAGGCTTCTGGCCCCTGGCTGGAGACCTCACAAATTGGCCCATGGCAGGCTGGGAATGTACTGGGTTAAAAATGAAACTAAGGCTGGGCCTGGTGGCGCGTGTCTGTAATCCCAGCACTCGAAGGCTGAGGCAGGAGGATCACTGTGAGCTTGAGGCCAGCCTGGGCTACAAATGAGTTCAAGTCAGCCTGAACTGTATAACAAAAACCTGTCTCAAGAAAACAAAAACAAAAACTGTGGCTAATACTTGCTGTGTGAGTTTAATTCTTAACTGTTATGGGGTGGGATCCTTTTGGTATCCCCAAAGCTTAGGGAAGTTATCTAGTTATCCTAGGTCACTGGGGTAGCTAGGCATTATGGGCAATGCTGTCCAGCCCATTCCAGAGTGCACAAGCATTAACCACTGTGCTATGTGGCCTCTTGCTGTATGGACCATAGCACTATCAGCTGTACAGATGCTAAGTATGACATGAACTCTGCCAGAAAAAATGTCTTCCAGAAACCAGATTTTGTGGGCAAATGGGAGGATAGGAAAAGCTTTGAGGAGCTTTAGGGTGGGTCCCTCACATGCAGGTACAGTTTACCTGCTGACACTTACAAAAACTGTAGGTTTTATTTGCTTTTCTCATAGAAGGGCAATATATAAGGCAGTGGTTGAAAAGTGAGTACCTATAGCAACTGACACACATTTCTGTGTTTTTTCTTCTCCAGCAATTCAATTATTTATTCCTCTAAAAAGTATGTTAAAGTGTATAGCTGTCATCCACATGGTATATATGAATGACATATAAGATGGGGCCTTTTATTACTTTTTTTTTTTTTATCAAATTTTTAGTGTTCTACACCAGTGCTGTACTGTAGTTATTTTAAAAATGAACTTCACATATTTTTGTATTTTTCCAATTGTTTGCTATATATAAAAGAAACTCACTATAAAATGCTTCAAGAAAAAAAGGAGACAAAAGAAATTCTGAACTTCCTAGAAATGTACAGCTATTACATCTAAAAAAGGTTCTCAGATACACATATACAAGCATCCTGGACAATCCCACTCTTATCCCCTTCCTGCTTTCCCTTTTTAGCTGAAACCATGGTAAGAGTTCTAATTTCTGCAGAATTTCTAATTTAGAAAAAGTAACTTCTCACTGTTGGAAATCCAGGGTTTATCTTTTTCAGATTAATTCATTAAAAAACTCATAAGTAAAATAATGCATATTTAAGGGAAATATTATACAGACTTTTCTGTGCAGAAGTACATAAGATTTTTTAAAATCTATTACCATTCATTTATTTTTGTACAAAAATGTATAAATATGTTACTAGCTTTTCATAACAAACAAAAAACCACTTAAATAAAAGATACCAGATGAAAATTACCTTTTACTGCTTTAAAATTTTTTATGGGCTTATATATATATACACATATACTTCTGCATAT